ACCACTACAGGTCGCGGCCTTTCTACACGCGAATGTGACCTGAGGTCATATTTTGCCGCCAGTTCGTATAAAAGTGGCGGTAAATGGCTCATTAAACTAACCTCACTGCCGCACCGAGGGAGCTGTTTGGGAAATTGTTTGTTTGCCTTTGACGGTGATTTCTAATATTACCAATGGCTTTTTACTGACTAATTTGAGGGTTGGCCAATACGATTACCAAGTATAAACAGCAGCAAATATTTGGAGCAATTTATCTAAAGAGATATTTTACTACAAGTATACTATAAACTTTGATTAGGTATTCTCAAATCAATATTTTTTATCTAAATAAGCTATTAAGCTGAACGTGCTTTCTTATTATTTACTTAAAAATATTTTTGATGATATCATCGTGTTGGCTCCACACTTGTGTTGGCAACGACTTGGGGTATATTATTGCCCAAGAAGGATAAAGTATTTTTAGCGTTTTCGTTTTACAAGAAAATACCGAATTCACATAAGAGTTTCCTATTAAGGAAAATTTCAGAATGCAATCTCAAAACCTCCCTGATATTAAAAAAAATGAACTAATGAAGACGAGCAATAAACGCCTGATACGCACGAACAACTACTTCTGGCAATCTTTTGCACTTGCTTGACAACAATGCTTTTCATGATTATGTTAAATGTACAAAATTTAAGAAAACAAACCTCATAAGGTATGGTAACAACTATTTTCGCAATTCTCTCAAAGCAGGCAAGTCACAAAGCATAAAAGTGACATCTACTAATCGTAGATCCATGCAGGATTATTCCTGCGTAAATTGCAAAATCTGGCCAATATTGAGAAAATGTCGATTGGTTTTAGGTTCAAGGTCGGGTTCAACCAGAAGCGGTGGGTTTACCAGATGACAAGCAAGCAAACTCATGAAAAATACCGCTACAAAGTATTGTATGTAAGGTCCACACCTTTTCTTATGAAACTTTTTATAGATGTTGAGAGTTCTGAGCGAAACTGATATGTTACATTGATGAAATAGTTGTACTGTATTTTGTATTATAAACATTTCTTTATTTAGGCCTATTGATTTATTAAAACCATGAAACGTGATCGCTCCGTTCACCTGGCTTTCGCTCTGCTATGAAAGCAATCCTGGTATAAAAAGTTATATTATGTTATTAAATTTGTATTTATCATAATATTTAAGCTATTTAATATGCTAAGGCTGGCAACTGTGACACTGTATCGTCGTGTGGTCGCGTGAGGTGGTGCGCTCATTCACCACAACTTGGAACATTGCTACCAACTTTCCCGCATCTAATTAACCTCTCATAAACTAAACATTCCAACAGCCCTTAATTTATTGCTTTCGAGCTGTCAACTTATTGAGTAATCCAACCGCAGATACAAGGAAGAAGGAAGGGGCGTTTTCTTGGTTCCATGGCATAAATTAATTTTGAGTTATAAACATACCTTATATGTTTTTATCTAGTAGTCAAAATTCGATGTAAAATCCATCTTAGAAATCATTCAGAGATGAATCTTTGTTGTTGAGTGGTTTGTTTATACTGCCGGACAGTATTTATTGAATTAATTTGACTATTACCATAGATTAAACATGTTTAAAGTATGTTTAATCTATGCTATTACTTCCTAAGCAGTCAGCTATAATACAAACGTTCTTCAGGGTGGCGAAAATTCATAAATTTGAAATTCGAAACATTATGCAAACTAAGTATTAGGAGAATCTTTTTGACTGACTTAAACCTTAATTTCAAACATTTAAACCGAATTAACTTTAACTTTAGGATAAGTTTCAACAAAAAAGTAAAGAATGCAATGAATACAAAGCGTTGAACTGTATTCATACATGATGCATGGTGGATTATACATGGTGCAGAGCATAATCAATGGAATGAGGTTAACAGTTATTCAAGTGATAAATAGCGCGTGATAAAGAGTAAAAACATCGAAATTCACCCTTCAACCTAGGCACCAGTTAAACCTAATGTTATTTAAATAGGTTTGTGAAAATCAAATCAAGCAAATGGAAATTCACTTAGTCTGCAGGTTTGCTGAGGTGGGGGTATTTTTATTCGTACTTTAATTTATTTACTATTAATAGTAAATAAACTGGCATACTCTCTAAATCAATACGGTGATTGCTTCAAACAACTATATTGTGGAAATATTGAAAAACCCACAATTTTTATCGGTCTTTGGAAAATTTATCTATTTTGATGGTCTGTATTTTGACCATTATTTTCGCTACATACTTGCTGTTGGGTTTTAACTGCCATAAATGTATTCTTCTTTAATGTAATAAAATAAACTTTTCGGTAAAATCAACGGTTCGCGAGATTGAGTGAAAAACAATAGGAATTGCCATATTTTTGATATTTCGATAACAAGTGGCGCGCCCCGCGGCGAGCGGCAGTATCTCGAGGTGGATAACTTGGATTTTATGTTATGGGCCCAATACTAACAACATATCCAAAAATCAGAACTACCCGACCTTTTGCATACCAAAATGTCTTATTTTACTGGATTATCAAGTAGTTGAATTGTTTTTCTAGTAGTTGGAGAGGATACTAGTATTTGAATATACATTATTTAATTACCATTAGATTAGTAGGCTACTGTTATAATTGATTGTTATATAATTAATTAATCTTTTCTCTATAACTATTAAAAACTTGCTTAAATAAGTTAAAGAATATAAAAAAATAATTATCTATCTATATATTAATAGGCAAGCATGTTTCTTTAAAACCTTTTTTCTCAGCTCGTGTGTATCGTAGGGAAAATCTACGCATACCGTTAGAAAGCTATTTTCCTGTAGGTGTGCAGAATCCCTTTATAAATTAAAATAGGCTCAAAAATAAGCACAAAAAATTAATTTGAAATTTTAAAAAATTAACATAGGTCATATGGGTTGCTATGGTGATGACAAAATAACAACAAAATATAAACAGAAAATCAAAACAAATGGAAGACATTTCAATCACATGTTTTATTTACAGTGTGGGGTGAAAATAGAGAAGTTTGCACAAAACATACTTTTGGTCGATTTTTCGACCACGGGGCGTACTCTCGTAATTATTATTATATGTTAAGCAGGTGTTCCCCACTGCATCTAGTATCACAACATCATCTGACTACATTCATTATTGATCCAAACTTTTACAATATTTGTCTTATATTCTGCTGCCATAACATTTATGTACTTTTAAATAAATCAATATTTGTTAAAATTCGTTTTGGAATGTTTTATACTTAAACCCAACGAATACCCAACGAAGGCCCAACGATTCCAACGAATACCAGTTTCCGTTGGGCCAACGTTGGCAAATCGTTAAAATTTCTGCCAACCATTTCCCAACCGTGCCGACCATTTCCCAACGTTGGGCCAACGATGTGTGCTACTTGGGTCAGGGGTGGACACGGGGGACGTAGGGCTCCTTCACGACTCACGATAGAAACATTGGGGGGAAATGCATATTAAATTATCGTTTATGTCATCGTCAACACTGAGCTATAATTCTAACAACTGGAGGTAGCACTGAATGTCAAAGATGCGTGTCGCCAGCCGCCATGTTTGCGTGAGGTGGGTGTCCATAAGAAGCCATGTTATTGCTATGACAAAAAAACTCACTGCTATACAACCTAGTTATAAGAAGCCATGTTATTGCTATGGTAAGAAAACTTACTGCTATACCAACCTAACAAAATCAGCGACTCGCTTTTGACAGACTTCTGCCATGGCAGTGCTACATCCAGTTATAATTTTAGCTCAGTGATCGTCAAACGTCCATTAATTTCAAAAGTACTCCGGAAACATCAAAACGTGGTATTTAACACCTATATTTTTAAAACATTTTCGGGGAGGACCCTAAAAGATTCTACCCTCCGGGTCGCCTCCTCACAAATTTCCTATATTCGCCCCTCTCGGTCCTCCTTACCGTACTCATACTGCAAATATCGCAGTAACATATCTACATTTTCCTCAGACAGGAGGACATCTCCTCTTTTTGAGATGCTTCCAGCCGAAGCTGAACGCATTATCAAAACTTGTTGTCTCATCCAGCGGGTGTTACCTATCTTAAAAGAAGGAACCAACATATTTGCAGATTTAAGACAAGTGTAAACACTTGGAGGAATTGCTGGACGGGCCTTTGGACAAAAAAATATTTTATACACTATCCAAAAGGTAATTTGTAGATAGGAAGGAATTAGTAATAAAGTTTTGGCCCTAAAATGTTTAACAAACTTCCCTTTGTTAAAAATCCTTTCAAGAAAATGTTTTTAAATGTTTGGTAAAGCATCCTTTTGGGTCATTTTAAACACCTTGTATTGATTTAAATGTTTTATTTGAGCCTTTCTTCGAGTTTTTGTACACTACCGACCGGTACTCGTTATGTTTTATGTGAGTAATTTTGTGAACCAGTTTGTACAGAGACCGCACAAGCCTTTGCTCAAGCACAAAGGTGTTGATCAATTATTGCTTTAATATTAATTTATCCCTATTTCATCGACAATACGACTATTTGAACAAAACAAAACTAAGTTTATATTATATTAAAACCAATGTTCGTCCTCAGTTATTATATATCCTAATAAATAATAAGACTACTGCCTAGTTTAAGTTTTCGCCCTAACCTTTGAGTTTTGAGTGTTTACTCAATGATTTTGGTTGGCTGAGGCTCGTCGACTCAGAAACTTAAGAAAAGAGTAAGAAGTCTTGACTGTTCAATGTTGTGTTGTAGTTGAGTTAGGTTATGTTGAGCCTTTGTGTTGTTGTGAATTTAATTTAAACCACCCAATTTTCGCAAGCATTAGAAAAATCTTATGATAAATCTCTTATTTTCTTAATGCAATCCGTTTCGTATACATGTCAAGTTAATGCTTTTTCGAATTACCATCCAACCGTAAAATCAATTTTAGTGTGTTGCCTCTGCCTGATCAGCTGAGAGCTGAGAGCCGAGAGCGACTTCAACGACTTGAGTTCGGAGTAGGAGTTTCTTGAATCTGGGGTATAATAAATAATAGGGATGGGTGACTTGGGCGTTAAAATTGTTAAAAGTTCTCATCAGTCGCTGTGTTGTGCTGTTGTTAATATTTTATTTTGAGTTTTACTGATAATTTCAACTACGGCGTATCGTTAGATTGTTGTTGTGTTGAACTGCATTTGTGCACCAGAACTATAATATAGTCGTGTGTAACAGTTTAGACACATTATTTTCGGAATACTAAACCGATGTTTATCAACGAATCTAAAAATATTTTAATGTATCTTATAAGAGTTATTCAAGATGTCAAATCCACCTGTCAAAATGGAAGTTGACATTCCAGCTTCATTAAAAAGATCCAGTAGTGCACCAATGATCAATCAGTTAAATCCTACAATGACTACATCAGCAACAACTGCTACTACCTCAAGGTAAGTTAGATAAAGTTTAGGCCTAGTTAATTTTTAATTTTATAAGTAGTCCTTAATATTACATTCTTCAGTAAAATCAGCAGCCATATCCCAGGAAATGTTACAAGCGATGTTACAGTCAGATCAAGCGAGGAGTCTGACTAAGTTACCAGAGATTGGGTTAGTGAGGTTATTAGTCCGTGGTTTGAATGTGATGTACCTTGGGCCCAGTAGGTAATTGCTCCCCCCCTGCAACACCGACATAGATTTAAATAATACTTAAAATGAAAATAGGCATTTTACGAGTTGCTTACGCATCCGCAATCATAACAAAGGCAAGGCTCGTTATAAGTAGGCCTATTGTGTTTAAGTTACTTTTGATTGTTAATAAAGTTAGGCCCTACCCACATAACTTAGTAGGCCTAAAGAAAAAACGTTAACCATCAATTAAATGGTATAGGTACCGGTAACTTACAATAAGCAGTGACGTAGCCAGGATTTCAAAATAGTGAGGGTCGACCGACCGGGGCCCCAGGTAAAAAGGGGGATCCGGGAAAAATTTTAAAAATATAGGCCCTAAAACAGTCTCTTTTAGCTCTCTTGGCATTGAAAATAATCAACCCCAACGTCAATGATATAGGCTATGATTAACTTATATAATGGTTAATATGCATTTTAGGGTTTGCACGCGATTTTTGAATTTTTTTTTTCATTCTACTCGAAATTTAACGCTGATTCCGAAAATGACGTTCTTTTTCCGCGGAAAACGACCATAACGCGGAAAAACGACCAAAACGACCAAAAACTCTTTTTTTACCAAAACGCGTCATGTGGGTACTCAAATTAACCGGAATATTTAGCAGATCACGACTATGCAAGAATTTTTTTGGATCCGAGGTCAAATAAGCGAGATATTCACGAAAACGTGATACTACCAGCAATAACTCCAACTCACTAGGGGACAGGTGGGAATTCGGGGTTTTGGGTGGGGGAGACATCTAACGTGGTTTATCGTTGTAATTTAATGTGTAAAAAATAATGGGTAATTAGTCGGGAGAATTATGGGAGATATGCTTGAAATTGGGAAATTTTTCAGTACCAACCTATTCATTGGTTGTAGTAGCACTGCCATGTTGCTCGTTAGGTTAGGTTAGGTTGGTTAGGTTAGGTTAGGTTGGTTAGGTTAGGTTAGGTTGGTTAGGTTGGTTAGGTTAGGTTTGGTTAGGTTGGTTAGGTTAGGTTAGGTTGGTTAGGTTAGGTTTGGTTAGGTTAGGTTAGGTTGGTTAGGTTAGGTTGGTTAGGTTAGGTTGGTTAGGTTAGGTTAGGTTAGGTTGGTTAGGTTATTTTGGTTAGGTTAGGTTAGGTTAGGTTGGTTAGGTTAGGTTGGTTAGGTTAGGTTGGTTAGGTTAGGTTAGGTTAGATTGATTAGGTTAGGTTAGGTTAGATTGATTAGGTTAGGTTAGGTTAGATTGATTAGGTTAGGTTAGGTTGGTTAGGTTGATTAGGTTAGGTTAGGTTAGGTTAAGTTAGGTTAGGTCAGTTTGGTTAGGTTAGGTTGGTTAGGTTAGGTTAGGTTGGTTAGGTTAGGTTTGGTTAGGTTGGTTAGGTTAGGGTAGGTTAGGTTAAGTTAGGTTATGCATAGTATCATCCCTTTTACCTGTTAAATTAAAACATAAACACCAGATAACACAGACCAAAGTTAGAGCAAAAATCCAAAATAGCATCGCATATTTACGTGAAAATCTCGCTTATTTGACCTCGGATCCAAAAAATTCTTGCATAGTCGTGATCTGCTTAATATTACGGTTAATTTGAGTACCCACATGACGAGGAGTGGGGATAAAGACACGAGTCACCCTAGTGGCGAGCGTCGCGCCCGCGCTATCCGCGTGTTGCAATGTTAGTTTTGTGGAAATATTACGAGTAAAATTTATTATATCGAACTTAAGGAGGTTTGTAAACAGATATAATTAATCTAATTACTTGCTCACACTTTACAGACTATGCATCACAAGTAAATCCCAGAAGAAATTTAGTGATGTTATGAAAGAGTTAGATTTATTTATAACCTATTTGAACATTGGTCAGAACAAAATACCACAATAATTATTCTATCACATAAGCATGTCATCATTTGCTGCTGTGAGCCCCAATTATTATACAGAACCTTAGCAACAGAATATACATTTTGGTTATATTACAGTATGTTTCTTTGTCATAAAATATATTATATGTTGTTAAATAAAAGGAGTGTATAATATTTTATGGCAATAACTCCGATTCATTAATTATTCTCAGTAAAGTAAAATAATTGCAAAATATTTTCCCACATTAATAATAAATACTACTGTACTGTGAATCCAAAACGTATTATTTGATTCAACGATTAAAAAAAAAAAAACTATAGACTACGGTAAGCAATAAAATTCATAAACATACGTTTGTAGATTTAGTTACTTAAGCTATGAATGTAATGACATATTTAATGTGTATAATGATCATTAAATGCCAGAAACTCAGTATCTAAATCCCGTAAACTGATGCCTAGCCGGCCAAACTCCTAGCGCCAATGCCGCGCCAAGCGATTTTATGCCTACTTTAATCACTTAAAAATTATAGAAGCAAACTCTGTATCGAAAAAAGCTACAACTAAAAAATAAAATTCATACTTTAATTTTAATCTAAAACTTTGCCACAGGATTTTTTTTCTGACCAAAAATTAATAAAGTTCCTCGCTTACTACATTTTTCATGTTTTTAGTTGTGTTAAAAAACGATCATCAGTTTTTATTTGCCTAAATAAATTATGGTTAATATGCATTTTAGGGTTTGCACGCGATTTTTGAATTTTTTTTTTTCATTCTACTCGAAATTTAACGCTGATTCCGAAAATGACGTTCTTTTTCCGCGGAAAACGACCATAACGCGGAAAAACGACCAAAACGACCAAAAACTCTTTTTTTACCAAAACGCGTCATGTGGGTACTCAAATTAACCGGAATATTTAGCAGATCACGACTATGCAATAATTTTTTTGGATCCGAGGTCAAATAAGCGAGATATTCACGAAAACGTGATACTACCAGCAATAACTCCAACTCACTAGGGGACAGGTGGGAATTCGGGGTTTTGGGTGGGGGAGACATCTAACGTGGTTTATCGTTGTAATTTAATGTGTAAAAAATAATGGGTAATTAGTCGGGAGAATTATGGGAGATATGCTTGAAATTGGGAAATTTTTCAGTACCAACCTATTCATTGGTTGTAGTAGCACTGCCATGTTGCTCGTTAGGTTAGGTTAGGTTGGTTAGGTTAGGTTAGGTTGGTTAGGTTAGGTTAGGTTGGTTAGGTTGGTTAGGTTAGGTTTGGTTAGGTTAGGTTGGTTAGGTTAGGTTTGGTTAGGTTAGGTTAGGTTGGTTAGGTTAGGTTGGTTAGGTTAGGTTGGTTAGGTTAGGTTAGGTTGGTTAGGTTATTTTGGTTAGGTTAGGTTAGGTTAGATTGATTAGGTTAGGTTAGGTTAGATTGATTAGGTTAGGTTAGGTTAGGTTAGGTTGGTTAGGTTAGGTTGGTTAGGTTGATTAGGTTAGGTTAGGTTAGGTTAAGTTAGGTTAGGTCAGTTTGGTTAGGTTAGGTTGGTTAGGTTAGGTTAGGTTGGTTAGGTTAGGTTTGGTTAGGTTGGTTAGGTTAGGGTAGGTTAGGTTAAGTTAGGTTATGCATAGTATCATCCCTTTTACCTGTTAAATTAAAACATAAACACCAGATAACACAGACCAAAGTTAGAGCAAAAATCCAAAATAGCATCGCATATTTACGTGAAAATCTCGCTTATTTGACCTCGGATCCAAAAAATTCTTGCATAGTCGTGATCTGCTTAATATTACGGTTAATTTGAGTACCCACATGACGTGTTTTGGTAAAAAAAGAGTTTTTGGTCGTTTTGGTCGTTTTTCCGCGTTATGGTCGTTTTCCGCGGAAAAAGAACGTCATTTTCGGAATCAGCGTTAAATTTCGAGTAGAATGAAAAAAAAAATTTCAAAAATCGCGTGCAAACCCTAAAATGCATATTTACCTATATAATTTTACATTCAATTTAACAAAAAAATATTAACTTATATTTAAGACCGGAAGGGGGGGTCCAAACCCCCAGGACCCCCCCCCCTGGCTACGTCACTGCAATGAGTTTAACTTTTACTTAGGCCTACCGGTACATAAACACTTCCAAGGCTGTGTTCTTAAAATTAAGTAAAATGGTTTTAAGTTAATGTAAAAAAAGATTGAATTGAAGGTGTAGTTGCAAACATTAAAAACTAGAAACAGGCAACACATTAGCCTAGACCTATTAAAATGACTGGTTTTCCTAATTTTTTTTCGGCAAACTTGTTTAACTTAACTTATAAGTTAACATCATCAAAGTTCATTTTAGGGTTACATCACTTTCTGTACACATAATCAATAACTTAGGCCTAAAATGATTTAATGAGCGTGAAAACTACTTACTTCTGCTTAGAAACTTTTTTAACACTTTCTTACCGTCCAAAATTTTTTTGCCGCCCTCTTTCTTAACTCATGCCACTTGGTTTTTTTTTCATTTCACAGAAAAAGGGTGTATCATTACAAAATAACATTCGTCGAACATAAATAAAATCATATGCAAAAACACGGCAGCAACTTATCTTAATTTGCTAACCAATTGATAATAAGTTTCTCGCCCGATTTGACAATAGCAACTGACATTATGAGTAAGTTAGGTACCGGTAATGAAATAATGACATAAAAAATTAATAGCCTTCAAATAAAGATAGAGGACTATATTCAATGATAATATGCAAACAGTGGCAGTTCAGATGGCTCATGAGTGGGAACAGAAGTGAGGAGGATTCTACTGTCGCGCTATTCCAGATATTTTCCAAACATTGTCTGTTACTTGCCCCCCCAACAAAACAAAAACTCTTGCGCCCCTGGGCCTGGACCCACCGGGACCATTTGTAACCGCGGTACTGTTCTAAAGCACGGGTCATACTAGGCTGGCATCAGCGGTGAATTGAAAGAAGCCGTGACTGTCGGCTTAAATGTGACCACAAAATTCGCAGCCAGCTGACACTGAGCTGACTCAGCCTGGATTGGTGAGCCGGTGATGCTGGTGCCAGCTGCTGATCACCAGCGGCTGGCGAACAGCCTAGTGTGACCCGTGCTTAAGTTAGCCTACTGTATTTCCCTACCTAGAAATATTTTTAAGGATTTTTCTAATATAGGCCTAATGTCCAATACAAATGTCCTACCTACTTACTTCAGTTAGATTGTTGCCTGTATTAACTGAAGGCTTAATGCACCTAGATGAGAGAACTCCCAACCACTGTCCTGAGTAAACTTTTTTAATCACATTCCCCTTGTATTAACAAAAAATCCAAAAAGTAGTACGGTAACTTTCCTAGGCTGAAGGTAATAAACTTAGTCTTAAGATGAGGAATTGTCAAGGAACTTTTATTATAAATTTGTCTAAACGATTGTTATAGGGAATCAACAACCTTCAACGTGTTTTCATCAATGGCCCCCAGAACGCGGCGATTCAGTGCCAGTTTTACTTCCGGGTCCACTGCACCTTTGCTGTCCCCCCGCTTGACTCCACGGATCAGCCAGCTTCGCCAGGAGGAGTGCCTAGACGTGGCTGTAGGCCGAGAGACGGCACATGAGCGGGAACTGAACAACACAATGGTCATGTCACAGTCTTGGGAGGACCTCACCATTGTCGGCAATTCACCCAAGGTAGAAAATACATTTTGCTATGGAGATTACAAGTAGGCCTAGGCTTTCCATTTCAGAGCCAAGTGCAACTCTTTTAAGTTTTTTTTACTGTCTATGTTTGTGGCATTTTGATTCGAGGTGAGCTCACTGTATTATCCGAACATATTAAAATTCCATTTGATATTTTACTCTTGCCTTTTCTGTTACTGTTATTATCAGAATTTTTAATTCTTACAGCAAGTTTGGTTAGTTATGTTAGGTCAGCTTAGAACAGTTGAATTTCTTAATCCATATATTATTTTAGCCTTAACAAGATCAGTGTCAATTTGTAAGGCTGCACTTAAAGTAAAATCAATAAAATAATGGATTGAACAATCGAATGAAATAATTGATTGGCTATATCAATAGTTTTAATCCAAAATTTCAATCAAATGAATGTGAGGTCGTTTAAACTAAAGTGCAGCCATATAATAGCTTAGTTTCAAGATAGACAAAAAGAATTAAATATAGACTGTCAGCCGTGCTGCGGTTACCATGGTTACCATAGGTTCTGGTGCACACTGCTGGGAGCGCCATGTAGTTACGTAGCGTGTACGTCGTAACTACATGGCGCTCCCAGTGGTGTACGCCAGAACCTATGGTAACTGCAGCACGGCTTACGGTCTATATTTAATTCTTTTTGTTTGTGGTTTCTCAAAGGCTCAGTGGACAAGTGGTCCAAACCCATTAGGCCCAGAGGCTACATGTTTTGTGGGAATCAAAGCTCAAAGATTGAACAATCGAATGAAATAATTGATTGGCTATATCAATAGTTTTAATCAAAAATTTCAATCAAATGAATGTGGGTCGTTTAAACTAAAGTGCAGCCATATAATAGCTTAGTTTCAAGATAGACAAAAAGAATTAAATATAGACTGTCAGCCGTGCTGCGGTTACCATGGTTAACATAGGTTCTGGTGCACACTGCTGGGAGCGCCATGTAGTTACGTAGTGTGTACGTCGTAACTACATGGCGCTCCCAGTGGTGTACGCCAGAACCTATGGTAACTGCAGCACGGCTCACGGTCTATATTTAATTCTTTTTGTTTATGGTTTCTCAAAGGAAACTAGTCCTATAACTTTTTCATGTCACAAAGTTACATGAAAATTGTTCTAGTTTCGTCTGCTTGTCCAAAAAGGATATCAATGAATTTGAAATATGTTAAAATTACCTGTTTATTTCCTAAATTAATTGTTATTAAATGCATTTGGTGTGTTTGGTATGCTTATTCAGTTTAGCAGCTATGCGATTCATTCAACTTGTCACATGTGAGAATAAAGTTGTAGTCTTGCGAAGTATGATCTGAGAGCGATGAACGATTTTATTTCTGTGGTGAAAATCTAGCATTGTCAGTTGTCGGACATGAATAGAGTAAAGTTTTTGGACATAAAAAACGTGATTAAAAGATCGAGGAAGTCGGAGGTGGATATTGTAGACATATGCCCAATGTTTAAGATGTTTTGCCTTGATTAGGTCCGCTACGGTTTTTCATCATGTTTGAAGCAGTGATCAAAGTTTTGCCTGCAGATATCGGTGCGACTAGACAAGAGCAGGACAAGAGAACTAACAAGAGTCGTCTCTGTAAGACTAGGAATAACGCTATACCCTGATATCTCCAGATAAACCCACCAATCAGGATGTTTCCTCAACTCTTCATTGTCTTTATCAAATTTGATGAATTGCCCCTACCGGCTTCACAGTGCAAATTGCCTGACAAACTCCCTACTTTTTCTATGTCATAACATTTTCCTCCATAGGCCACAAATCTACCAAACGGCAACAGATATGTGTTAGGGTAGATACCCTTCCCACAGAAACCTTATCATGGAAAGGAACGCTCCTCAAACACTTGGCAGCTTTGATTTTCTATTATCTTTATTGGCTACTACTTATGAAGGAACTAATCAATGTGTTAGGGTAGATCCCCTTCCCACTCCCACAGAAACCTTATCATGGAGAGGAACGCTCCATACACTTGGCAGGAGCTTTGATTTTCTTTTATCTTTATTGGCTACTACTTATGAAGGAACTAATCGTCAGATGTAGGTGAGAACCGGCTAGATTTGTAGATGGATGAAGTAAAGGACACAACGTTGGTGTCAGATGTTAACTAGCTCGGACCTCAATGGAGATCTAAATTTAGGGACCGCCCTAGTAGTTTTGAATAGTAAAGATTGTAAATCATGAAAATATCTCAATGTTTCCTTGACACTTTGGGTTTTGTAGCCTAAGTAACCTCTCAGTAACCCATGTCTAGGCCAAATTATGAATTTTTATGAATTATTATGAGTAGATCTCTCCAACCAGCAATAATACCTCATTTCTTGTCCGGTATGATGAATAATAACATATTGGTACTCAACACTTTATTTACATTTTTATCAAACCAGTTGAAATTTACAGGAAATATATTATACTCCTTACTTGGTTGAACATGTCGGCAAAAGTAGGCCTATACCTGTAAGTTACTGGACTAGCGGTTGTTGGTTTTGTTTAGATTTCTGTGCCAAAATATAAATTGGTTATGAAGGGAAAGCCATAGGTGGCAATTTAGATTGAAAAGACAGCTAACTTATTTGAGAAAGTTTGTTCCCAGAGGTTTATGGATTTCCACAAAAGATCGCTTAGCAAAACAATGATATTTCAACATACACCTTAGTCTAGAACATGATTCCGAAGGTGATTATTTGTGTATGGTTCACTCAGTTCATGCTTTACATTTTATTCAGTAAAATTATTGTTAAATCTGGCAATTTTTGGTATATTTGTTTTACTCTTCAAATTGTTAACCCACCTAGCTCTCAGTGTGATGTATGAAGAGGAATGACTGTGAGACGATGCCACCTAGATTTCTGCTAATTGTGTTGTTTGTAGCTTACAGGATGGGTATTGATGAGCTTGTGGTTATGTTACAGGGAGATGCCGGGGACCGTAGTCCCAAGCCAAGAGTAGGCTTGTGTGACCCTCTACATGTCCACCTCCCCTCTCTCTCCCCCGTCTGTTCCTCTCCCTCCCCCACCCGGATGCTGGGCACCAAGCAGGTGTTCTCACCCAACGTTTGGAAAACCAACCTCTCACCAAGTCCTACCAGGAAGTTCACCACCAGGTACGCCAATGTTTGTGAGATTTGCTGAGAACAGAGTTTCAAAGTGTTACTGTTACGCTAGTGAAATATCTCATCGTCTAATTTAAAAGACTTTTGGTGTCAAAATATATAGGATTGTGAAGATGGTGAAATTTTAATTCGCTCAGATCAGATGGGGCTACTTTTTTAGGATATAAATAGGAAAACCAACAGTGTTTGAAAGTTTCATATTCAGATAGTTTAACAGCTTTTGAACTTATTTAATGCTTGTGTTGTTTTTGCATAGCCAAAGGTGGCAATAGGAAAATGTTTTAATTCTCTCCTATCTAACAGAAAATCTAAAGTGTAGCACATACTATGTATCAGTATCAGTGTCTTTGGACGTACGGTAGTTCTACAGAATATAAATGGGTTGCAGGTCTTCAGTACGGTACTGTAAAATGCAAGCAAATTGTAAAAACTATGTATTATAGTTATATAGGACTGATATAAAGTGCTGTAGGTGCGAGTACGCTCCTGTAAAAATTTAGCCTCATTAAAAATAATGTAAAAGGAAAATTTTGTTTGTTCCAATACTGTTACTTTGCACCATCATTATATGCACTTTTACGCTGTACTGTGAAGGCCTATTACAACTAGTTGCGTTGTTGCTAGATGTCGTACCTTAGCCTATATATAAAGAGGAAGGTGAAATCCATTAAACATGGCCAAACTCTACTGAACGCTCCCAGAATGTTTTTTTTTTTTTTTTTAACATCCTCTTAGAAAAAAAGAATCCTTAAGTCATTAAGTTTTCATAGTGTAACCGATATAAATTGTCACCTCTTTTCCCATGTAGGCCTACAAAGTAATAGCTGTAATTTCAGCTTGCAGTCCAAACCAATAATTTGTTAATCTGTAATTTACACTTTCAGACGGAGTTTGAGCCCTATTGCATTGCGGACACCAACTCTGGGCCCCATCAAACGCAAATTTGACTTGGATGACAACGAGCCACCTGCAAAGCGGACGAGCATGGGACTGCTCATGCCTCAATCAAGGTTTTTATTTATAATGTTTTAGTAAACTACCAACACCTTCTTAGTCTAAAAGACTTAGCGAGAATACTTAGGATGCTATGGATGTTTCCATTAACAGTGGGAGTTAAATTATGGTAATTTTACTGTATACCCTACACTACAAGTAAAGTTGCAAAATTTCTCTAAATTTTCTCAAGGTTTTCATTAAAAGAAATAGTCATACAATCACTTTATTAATAAATTTTCAATCTAAAAGGTAATTTTGATGATTAAAAAGGCGTCCAAACCCTCAACTTTTTTTATTTTGATTTTTGTTGGAACAGACCGTGCAGTTTCTTGTTACCTTCAAACTACAATATTTGTTTGCCACAACTTTTGAGTGTATAATGTTGATATCGGTGCAATCTTTCTCAATTATTGATCCTGTTAAACTATTAAAGACCTTAGTGTATTGGGGTATCAAATTATGTACAGTAGTTCCTTAGGTTTGGTGAGAAAATGCCGGCTTTAATGAGTTGCGTCAACATTTCAGAAAACTAACATAAGAAGTACCTTCAAATACCACTTCAAAATGATTCTAATAGAAATTTGGGACGTGATCTTCCAGATGATCGTATAGTAAATAGTGTTACAAAATGATTTTAAGCCTTAAGGTTGTTTCTGGTTGGATACACTGGGCTAGGCTAGGATTATTTAATACAGTAAAGTCCCACAAACTCAGCACATGAAGTGGCAGTGCTGATTTCCTACTTACCCGCAAAGATGTGTTGAATCGGTAATTCATTGCGTAGTCACAATGAATTTTGTACCCAACGCAGCAATGTTGTGGGTTTGTTTTCTGCCAAGTTATGTTTTATCAGTACAGTTCAACTCTTGGCTCACCCCTGGCTTTGCTGGATACAATCCACACTAAGGCCTGATGCTGTTTATTTAATTATTTGAAGACTTGAAGTTGTTTTGGGTTGGCTATGTTAGGCTGGGTTAGGATTACTTAATACAGTGTAGCCCTGTAAACTTAGCACACAATAAAGTAGCAGTCAGGATTTCTTGACGAACCAATAAAGAATGTTTACCCTTCAAGGGTATTAACTCCAGCTCTGTAAGCAACCCTGGTGAAGAAATAAACAACTTCGATAGTTACACAGGAAATAGACTTTGCCATTTGTACTTCACACTTTGAAACTGACATTTGGCTCTAACTTACTACTAAATGCTATCCATATTGCAGGCTAGACTTGACTGCCAGTCCACTGGCTGGATCGCTTAGCTCTGTTGGCACCCCTGAGTCATTATCAAGTGGAGACTCACCGGTAGGGTTCAGCTATCGTAACGTGGACAGTCCCAACACTACGTCGGAGCACACATCCTCAGATCAACAGTCCTCCGACCATCCGATGGATCAACCCACGGATACTCAAACTCGGATGGATCACTCGTCCAGCAACTCAACAGACCAGACCGACTCTACAGATCACCCGATGAGAGATTTGACCACGTCAGTCCCCAACCCGTCATAACTGGTGATATCAACGCTTATGTATAATTGTGTCCTAGTCTTAGGTTATGAGTTATGCCGGTATTGTAGTATTATACATCCTTCGTAAATAGCTTTGGTACAAAGTTTAGAATATTGAAACAAAGTTCATCACTAGGTTTGTTACAATTAAGGCTTTTGTCAGCATATTGCTACTCGTGTTAATCTTGTATTCTTTCTCGTTTAAACTTGACTGATAAGAAAATGCTAACGGCAAATTAGTAGAGATGGACGGGATTGGACTTTTAGTTTGGGACGGGCAGAATTTTATTCCCTTCCTGATTTTTGGGACAGAAACATGACGGGATTTTACTTCTTATGCAAAATGAGTTTGATTTTAAAATCTTGCCTAAAAGTTCTCGCAGAATAAATTCATGACAAACAAAATCTATATGGTCCTGTAGTACAGAGACCAATAATGGGTTAAAATAACAGAAACCTTTTTCCAAAAATAAAAATGTTATATATTTGATAAAATTTGACTGCAAAACGTCAGTCTAGCTAAAAATCACTAGCTAATCACAAACGGGTATTAAGGCCAAGTATCACTTTATTTTAACAAATTTATCATATAGGGAATATTAGCGTATTTTCCCATAAGCCTATAGGAAATAAGCTATTACCTATAAACTCCGTCTATTCGAACGATTTTCGGACTATGGGTTTTATGGGAGATTTTAGATTTTTCCCTTTTTTAACCTTGAAAAACAAGTAGGCCTATCTTGTAATTTTTATCTAGACCTTTTTGTTGAGATATAATTTTGCATATTGAAGCATTGTTGTATGCTTAGACAAAAGGTTACAAAAAGTTTTTTTGAAACTGCACCATCGCTAACGTCTTGAAATGGGGAGCAAGCTGGTCTAGTGGTCAGAGCACGGGACTTCGGTCCAAGAGGGGTCCCGGGTTCAAATCCCGCCAAATCACCAATGGATTTTATCTTAGTGATAATGCTGCAACCCCCTAGGTCTAGCGAGTAATGTGAAAACAATCCCGGGCTCTTGCCTAGCGTCCTAAGGCAAAAAAAACCATCTTGCATATCATTTATTGCACTAGGTACTATCATTTATGTCTCGCAATCACCGCGCCATCGTTAAACCATGTCTCGCAATCATGGCAAAATAGTGAACATCTACTATTGCGGAGACGTATTTGCTGATGGTTGGAAGAGATTCGTGAAAAGATCATATATATATTTTCCCAAAAATGTTGAGAAATTTTGAGACCCGTCCATCTCTGCAAGTGTTTTGCCTGTTGTTGCAGCAGAACAAATCTTGAACTTATAACTGTTAAGAATAATAATTATTCAAACCATTTTTATTTTTAAGACTTCCTAGGGTTGAAAATAGTCTTTCAAGTTACTTGGAAACAAAATAAACACCTATTTGTGAAAATACCTTCTTGTATTCAACTACAAAATACTTTTCTTCTATCTATATAGTGTTTTTAGACATTCAAATACAGTTTTAAAAATCTTACTAATCTTTTCAATAGGTCGAATTTTCCCCTACTTAGTAAAAAGGAATATATGTCATCAAATGCTTTCATATCAGTGACAATCTGAAGTTTTTATACTTTACTCAGGAATTTTTGTATGGTGAGTTAAAAGATTATGTTCATACTGAAATATCTGTTAGAACATTCATGGTGAGGCTTAGCCATTTAGAAGTAAATCAGTGTTACAGTGTTTGTTGAGTTTGATAATCTTAAGATTTTTTATTATTTTCCAGTAACAAAAAATGCTTTTTTTGTGATTGTTGTACTTTTTATCTGATTTTTCCAATTGTTCAGTAAAGTTTGTAACTTCTTAATTATGATAAGTAATTTCTATTGTTCATAGTTTTACCAGAACAGTTTTTATTGTTAATATTTTAAGGGAGTAACCTGGCTCATGATTGTTTAAGTTCAGAAAGTAACAGAAGTTTTAGAACATATCTTAAAAGTTAAACAATTTTTTTTTTAGTTTTCAAGTTGTGTACCACCTTTAATTTAAAAAAATCGTAATAAAACATTTTTATTTTATGATTTTGTAGTGTATGAATCAAAATTGAGGCTGTGACTGCCAAACGGGTCTAAGTCGAGATGGGCCCTTTTTCGAGGAGAGTCGATTCCTCGTGTCTTCTAGTATAATCTTTGATAACTTGGAATAGTGTATTTGAGTTTGTTTGGTTGGCATGACTCTTAAAGTCAGCTTGTGTCACTGGCCCTTTAAGCATAGAAGACTGCCAACGCTGACAGCCAAACATAACCTCTAAACTTTAACAGGGATTATCTGAAAACATCAGTTTTTGAGATAGGCCTGTTTAGCAGCTACCCCTCAATTATAAATTAACATTATTAAACTATTACTACTTTACGTTACTTTTTTTAAGGATATTACCAACTCCAAGGCGGCTTGTTTAACTATTACCCTAATTTAAGGTTTTCCAGAAGTTGTTGTTTTCTTTCTGTTAAGTTTTTTTACTAATCTGTGTTTTAATTTTAAAATAATTTGGATTCTTAGAAACGTGTGTAGACGCCTCATAGCGTAGATAATGTGTAAATACTAGCGAGACTTGGTCGGGACTATCCCGAGCTCTAGTCCCAAGTTACCGTAACTTTACGGACCTTATCTTAGGGAGGAACCAAAGAATCCCTGTGTGTATGATCTGAGTTTCTCCGGTGTGTGTTTGTTTGTGTGTATTTATTGTCATAGACTGAACGCAATATCTATTGTTGCCTTGTAGACGCATACTCATACTCGACTTCGTATTGTATATTGTAGACTACGAGTTATTCGATTTGAAATTAAACAATACTCTTGTCATGTCCATGTTGTGTACTTTGTCATTTTCCAATTTGACTTCATAATGTGAGGGGTTCAGCAAAAAATATGTTTAAAGGGGGTTTCTGTGTTCTTTTTAAATTAACTTAAAATATGTTGGATCTTAAATAGATAAGTAATCATAGTATTCTAAATTAATGTACAATATCTGTAAGAAGTTGCAAAAACTTTTGATTTCTGAAAAGCTACCATTTTCTATTTGGTTGCAATGGATCTCCTCTTTTATTTCTGTTCAAACAATTTTCTTGGTGTGTGACCTAATCTTACGATTAAATGACTACAAAAACTCTTTCATATTGGTCATATTTCATGTAATTTATTTTTAAATATAAATACCCATAAGGTACACATGGGAAACTCCTTACTGAGGCTGAGCCCAAAAGGATCTTTGAGATAAGAATATACCTACAGGGTGGCCGAAAAATCCCTTTACACTAAAGATAAATTCAATTGGTGTTGATTAAAACTATAGAAATCTATTTTAATCAGAAATATTTTGTGGGCTACATCAAGTGAACATCATTTTTAGTCTAAAACATCAGCATGCATAGGCCTATCTCCATTGTTTCAGCAAACCTTGACTCGACTCCAAGTTCGTTAACTCATTCGTTTCAGCATAATGTGGGTGACTCGTGCAAAGGCCACCCTTACTCTCTACTGGGCGTCGCCGCATGTGGTTGGCTAGGGAGAGTGAGGCTTCAATCTCTCCCCCCACTGTTGCCTTACTACTCACGTACAAATAATAACAAATATAACAGTGTACATTTTCCATCACGAATGTAAAAAACAATACACAACGTTTCGGGATCTGGAATCTGATCCCGTCTTCAGGTGAAAAAAACTTAACTAACACATTACAACTAACAATACACAAACGCCCAGCCTAAGTTGAAATACACTACAGAGGGTAGCAGTCAAAAAATATGCACTGAATAGCAATCAAGTCATGATACAACATGCAATTAATAACAAATCACAAAACGATATAATCTATAAGGTTTAACGTGACAAACTCACACAATGGAACACTAATAGCACCGTACGCAATGACTCCACCAATGAGACTGAAACAACATGGCTGACCAATCGGAAACACGGAGACAACAGAAATGGCTTCCGGTCCCTGCAAAAGTAAAACCAACAAAATGGCGGAGCGATGTACGATGCCGCAAGATGGGTGTTAATTCTGTTTATTCCTATCTCGAGTTTTACTACGAGTTTACATGACGTGCAAATTTTGAGGAGAACTCGTTATTTCCCTATTTATTGAACAATTTAGTTCCCTATCCTTTAGTTCCTTGTTCAAAATGGGTAGCCAAAGTGGCCTTATTTCAACCGATGACTGACTGATTGGTTGGTCTGCTAATTTAATGTATGAGGCTTCAATGAATTTACGTTAGAAAAAATGAGGTTCCTTATGGACAATTTTTGCCTCTTCAAAAAAAACACAACAAACAACTAACAAAAACTAACTAACTAAAATACAACTAACAATTCTTTGTGTATTGTTACTTGTAATGTGTTAGTTTCGAGTCGTTTTTTTCACCAGAAGACGGGATCAGATTCCAGATCCCGAAACGTTGTGTATTGTTTTTTACATTCGTGATGAAAAATGTCCGCAATAAACCTTTGAACAACATTAACTCACCATCACCAACAATGAACTTCAAACAAAGAATAACAGTGTAATACGTACTGCAATATTGTGTAAAGGGGCTTTTCAGCCACCCTGTACATGTTAATGAGAAATAGAAGTTTTAATCATGCAGAATTTCAGCCTAAAGGTCGATTCACACACATCAGTTACAACACGTCACAGTAAAGTCACTTCAGGCACGTCACAGTTAACAAAAATATTCTTTGATGGATTTTCTATTGCGCAATCTACACTCATCCGTTGCAGTCCCGTCAGTCTCTCTGCCGGCATCCGTCAGTCAATTTCAGATTTCTTTTCACCGATATTTTTTTATTGTTCGGAGGCCTGACGGAACTGTTTGAGGTTAGAAAATAGTGTTATTGTTATTTAAATGGTTGCGTTTGTATTTTGAGTACTGTTTGTGACAATCAACAAGATGGACAATGATAATTTAATAGAATATAGGTTTAAAATTTAAATTTTTTGACTGTAAATTACTGTAAATATTAGAGACGGAAGACTGACTGAATCCAACTGACGTACAATTGACTGAGAAATTGCGAATGCAACTGTGACTGGACTGCAACTGGACTGTAACGGAACTGTGACTGGACTGATGTGTGTGAATCGACCTTAATCCGACCAGTAGTTAATGTGTGATTGAGCCCAAAACAAATAAACACACAAACTTTCAGCTTTTATAGTATGACTAGCTGTACTTGCGGGCTTTGCCCTTTTTAACTTCATAAGTGAGCTCGTTCCCATTGCTCAATCACGTCCTGGTTGAAGTTCGTTCGCTACGCTCACTCATCTTTTGGTTGCAAATTAGCTGTTGTCATAAATTAAAAAAAAATAATAGTGCTGCACCCTGTCGGTAATCCTTGTAACTTTAATGCTATTGAACATCATAGAACAGAACCAACTTGTTTAA